ATCAAATATTGTCAACAAAGGTGATAAATAAGCTCTTGGATTTCTGGTAATCCAATCAGTGAAGACTGAATGAGAACATTAGTCAAGTACTTAAATGTCTTGTGGATTCAATACAAACTCTTGATATCAGTGAAGAAAACAAATCTTGTGCTAAAGATCATTGATGACTCTGAAATCAATTCAAAGAACATGTAGGATCAGCCACTGCACAAGAAAACTTGAAAAGCCTTGAAGTTGCAACTTGTATGTAGAGATTTCCCATATCAAACATTAGCTCAAAACACTCTCATGAGCTGCAAAAGCAGCTCTTCTAGGCTGAATAATAAAAAAGGAATGTTGATGTACTATATGCTATTCTCTTTACATAAATGTTATTGCTAATTTATTGTCATAGGAAGAAGAGCTTGAAAACATGCAGCAAACTCTGTGGGGGCTATTACAGAGGCCTGTAAGGGAGTTAACCAAATATGACATTGTTTTTACGAATTTGGTGACATTACAGTATTTGTCAGCACTTTAAAATATGCAGATCATAGCGCTTTCTCTTCCCATGCACAATTGTCACCTTTGTTTCCAATTTTGTATTGTTTTCTTTAAAAGGAATCATAAATTGAGGTCTGCCCTGGACAAAACACTCATCTTCCTCAATTCCTTCCTGTGTGTCCAAATCCCCCAACTCTGCATTAAGCCCTTGTAATAAATGTAGAGGAAGTGATCGAATTGGAAGATCACCCTTCACAACTTGCCCTGGTATAACCAAGAGGACAACACACCACCCCCCCTCCCCGACACACACTGACGGGTTAAGGTGAAAGGTTACCAGAATCTGCCATCCGCAGGATGCCCAAATACCTCCCCATAGACTGCCTGCCCACTGCCAAGGGCTGGATGTCTCCTGGCGATGGAGCCTGCTCAGTCACATAACTGACCTCAGCCTTGCTCACTGGGGACAATCCAGAACTGAGTCCCTCCTGATGTGATGTAATCTGGAGAATGTGGCGTGGCCCCTCTTAAGTATTCTTGCCCTCCAATTGGTTTAATCTGAACGTAATTAAGCTTTAGGCCTAGCTTTCAGTTTATAGAAATGCAGAGGCTAGAAGATTAAGTTAATGGACCCTAACAGGGTCCTCTCTGGTGGTGCAAGGAGTTAAGTCTCAACACTATGAAGCTATCCTCAGCCACAGCAGCATGAGTTTGATCCCCTGCCAGGGAGCAGACCCACATGGCACAGCAGACCTCTCCTGTCTCGCCTGCTGCTCCCCGCAGCAGTGTATTTCAGTGGATCTGCCTGTTCTGTTCCCCACCCTGTCTCTGGTGAATCCTCTCACTGTTCCCCTCCCCTGCACCTCTGGCCTGCACCCCAGTTCTTATATGCATAAATAAATAAAATAAATCTTTAATGAAAGATGACCCTAACAAAGTAACAATCAGATAAATCTAGAACATGGGACATTCTACGAAACGAGAGACCTAGTCTCTTCACAGTTTTCCCACGACTTTTATTTTACAATGTCATGGGAAAATAAAAAGGTGGAAAGGCTAACTTAGAATAAAAGGGAACACAAATACAATAATCAAATGCAATGTGTCAACCTGGACTGGATGTTCCCTCATTCCAATGTCTCTCCCCCCAAAGACTTATAAAAGATGTTTTGAAAACTAGAAAATTTTTTAACAACGCCCAATTATTAGAAAACACTAGGGAATCACTGACTTTCGTCAGTATGACAATAGTATAGTAATGTGGCTAGCAAAAGAAAATATTTTTTGAAGATGCATCATGTTTGCAACTTACTTTCAAATGGTCCAGCAACTTTATACTTGGGGATTTTATAATTTTAAAATTGGAACAATTAAAATGTATGTTAAATCTACTTTTCTCTCTATCTGCAAAACACAATCAAAAGTGGATTAGCATCTTATAGTAGGATCATGAATGTGCAAGAGAAGAAAAGGAGACAAAAGGTTCTGAACAGTCAATTCGCATAAGAGAAAACTATATTTTTTTAAAAATCTACTTTTCTCTTATTTGGCCAATCTAACCAAAAAGTTTTAAGTTGGCTCAAGGTAATGAGTCTCCTCAAACATGAGCAATGAAGCAGGAGCCAAAGCCACAGAGGCGGTTGTTTTCAAAACTGCCCCATTGCATTAACAAACCTCTAGAGAGCAAATGGAGTCACGACCTGCTTCGTTTGTGTTGAAGAAGAGCTCATGGGATTCTTAGGCTGCCGCCTGTCACTCTGCGTGGAAAAATCAAGTAGGGACAAGGGCTACAGAGAGAGGAGAACTCACGGAAAACAGATTAAACACCAACTGACTTATCTTCTTCATTTCAGGAAGAGCAAGATATCAAGGGTGATTCCTTCCAAGGACCCAGCACACTTCCAGGGATTTAACTCACCATAAACACGAGGAGTCCATGATGGTATCCTTTATAAAGCCCTTTCAGACGGATGACCTCCCCCATGCCTTACAATGACTGAAGGACACAGCAGGTGAGTAATGTTCCCAATTCACAAGGGAAGACACTTGAGGCTCAGAGGTAGTAGGAGTTGCCAGAGGTCACAGGGCAACCTTGGGAGCCCAAGTCCACTCACACTGCCCACTGTCCACCCGCGGGGTTACCAAGCTGCTCTCTCACTCTGGGAAATGTCTATTTCTCTGAGCTGCCATTTTCAGGGCAGATAGCCTACAGCACAGTGGGAAACTGCGGAGGATCGCAATTTGTGTGGAAAAGTAAAGGGAGGGGTGGGAGAGGGAAGGGGCAAAACTCAGGTCTGTGAGGAGGCAGTGGCACCTCACCCCCAGGGGTAACGAACCTCCCTCCCCTGCCTCTGGGGAGCAGGAACATTCTTCACACCAGGACACCTACCAGGGTTCCACCACATGAAGAAAACGAAAAGACCTTGAGAGCAAAGCAGCAACTGCAACTAGGTGTACGGAGTCTGAAAAGCACAAACACCAAGCAATGGACGTGGAGAGCATCACCCTGCAGGTGGAGGCCGCGCCTGACCTCATCCAGTGGCTGTTTGGGGTGGCTTCGCTCCATCCGGTTCCTAACTGGGGGAAATGACTAATTCCATGGCTTTCACAAGACACAGAGATCCACCAAATGTTTGCTCCAGCTGATTTTTTTTTTCCTCCCAAGGGCAACTCGTTACCCCGACAATAAAGCAGGCTTTGTTCTAAAGGTTTACAGTGTTTGCCCAATGAAAATTCTAACTGACAACCACCAGGAGAAGAACAATGCAGAGCAGAGAGCTCTAGTTTCTCCCATCCTTCCAAGACTGTTCTCAAAGCAGCACTTGCTTCTGGGTTTCTTGGACCCGATTTTAGCTCGGTCTTTATTTGGACACACGTATAAGTAGAGACTTGGATATTACTAATTTATCATTCAAAGCAGTCAAATCTAAAGACCAAAAGTGTTATTCTTTCAAGCTCGAAAGATAGGAAACGTCAATTCATTCCCAGGCTCGTAATATCAGGTTCCTCCAAGCAGAATAAGCATGTTACACAGAAATAGTGCCAAGCCTTGTCTGTAAAAGGGTTGGGGGGCGGGGTGGGGCTGAAAATATAAAATGCATGATGAGAGTCTTGAGAAACAGTTGCATGGGAATATTTAAAGGCCCTGCTATTCAATGGCGTCATTAAGGAATAAAAGTTCAAGTACCAGAGGGAGTGATTTGCATATGAATGTTGGGTGTGGCATCACACACAAGCAGCCCCTTGACACAGAGAACCCAGTCACATCAAGCAAGTCAGAGCTGCGAGTGACAAGGTATAGACAGGGCTGTTCAGATAAGGGACAGACATTACTGGACCCTTTTTCAAAGAAAACTTTGAAGATTTTGTTAGGCTTTCTTCTCGGAACTGTCACAAGATAACAATACAGTTGCAAATGAGTGGTGTTCAGTGGCCACATCAGGGCCTTTTACAGACCAGCTGCCAAAGGCTGCCCAGGACAGGAAATTAGCATTAAAGAAGGACTCAAGCTTCCTGGGCTGACACATAGCCCAAGGAAAATATTCTCAAATAAAATACCAGACCCCAATCAGCTGCATTGACCAAAAGCAAATAAAACCCCCATTCTGAAAGGAAGAGCAGCAAAAACACACCCTTTACTTCTCTCTGAATCTTCCAGAATCGCCCCTTCTCCAAACAGTGTCCAGGGCTCCACAGTAAAATAGAAACAAACAAACCACGTGCTTCCAGCTGCATTACACAGATTAAATGAAGAAATTCACCTTCCTTTTTCTAGACAGGAAGCAAAGGAGCCACAGGCAGGAGCACCAGACTAGGAGTCAGGAAGCCTGAATCCTGCTAGTCTCTTGCTACCAGGAGCTGCCTGAAGGGCCCCTTACCTCTGAATCTCCTCGCACCTGTCTGTAAAAGAATGGATGCATCTAAATCAGCGGTTGTCAAACTATGTTTCTTGGAGCCCTGGCATTCGGGAGAGGTGCCCCTGGGGCTGCCATCTGACAGGGGTCAGATGAAGGAGTAAGGGCCCGATGCGTCTTCTCAACCCAAAATGGTACCGAGTGGATCCATTCACATATTGAGATTTTGAGTGAAAACTCTTGCTTAAAAACTTCTATTACCCAGATAATTCACAGTTAAAATGACTTAAAAAGCATCGGCTCAATGTATTGGGTAATTTTTTTTAATCTTTAGAGTTATGTGGCTTCTCTTTGCCTCTGGATTACTGATTGATTGATAGGATGATAAATAATGATTCTCAAACCTATGTATCAGGTTCTCTCATTCCTACTTAAAAATTGAAGGAAGTGAAACTCAGTTAAAACAAGTTTACCAAAATCACACAGCTCCCTACTGGACAGCATCCAAACTCAGGCGTCTGTCATTAACCATTCAGCTCAATCCTGTCCTTCTAGTTAAAGAAGAAAGAGCACGGCACGAACAATCGGTGACCTCATTATTGCAGTTCTTTCTCCTTGGAACATCAGGTTCTTCATTTGTATTCTCTAAAAGTAAACACTCACCCTGGAGAGATGAAATGAATCACCACAAGTTCTGCCCAGCAAGCAAATTTGTTGGGTACAGGAAAGCCCATAACGTTGACAAAGCCTCCGGGGCAGTAATGGTTGTTGAGAACTTTCAAAGCAAACAAAACTCCTAAAAGAGAATAAAGAGCATACAAATAATCAACATCCCAAATGTGGTGAGAATCAACATTTTCAAAGAAAACTAACAGAAAGTGAAAATGAGTATTCCACTACATCCAACTTCTTGCGTGGAAACACACTGGATTCTTCAGAGCCGGCCAAGCATCGGGTAGAGGACAATGGTCAAGGTGATCAGGCCTAGACAGTTAAAACATGGGCGCTCATGCAAACTCCCAGCGCACTACTGAGTAGAGAATCAGAAGATGGGGTACATGCCAGCTGTAGGACACCACTGAACCCCATAGTTTGACGTTGTTAATATCAACGCTATGTGGTTTAATCAATTAAAAAAAAAATTACCAGTGGCGTGTTCTTTTTTCTAACTTCTGTGGAAAAACTTCCTTTCTTCTCCGATAACCAGAGGTGTGAGAATCTATCTCAGAGGGGAGCGGGAGGGCAGCAAGGAAGGTACAGCAGGGTTGGATTTTATTGAGGGCGATTTGCCCACTCTGCTTCACATTCCCATTTTTAGAACACCTGATTTCAGGTCTGATTGCAATTTCAGTCCTATGAGATGTGTTAAAACACAACAGCAGCAGCTAGGTAGGAAGGAGAGAAAGCGAGAGGCAATACCACACAACGTCAAAGCCAGGGACGCTGGGTTCCACCCTACTCTGTCCTCGTTGCGTGTGCAACCAGGACCACGCTACTGTGCCCTTCTGGGTCTCAGTGTCCTCATCTACAAAACCAAGGCAATGCCACCTCCCTCTGGACCTGTTTGTCTGGACTAAATAGCATGAATCAGGAGTCATGCAAAGTGACTATCACAACTCCTAACGCAAGGTGAGCAGGCCATGGTGAAATGTGGTGTGTTGTCGTGAATGAAGCCATACTGAAATACAAATACTCATTTTAGAGAACCCCAATCCTAACTACACCAGGGGCTCGCTCCTAAATCCCACCCAAATGGGCAAGTGTTATTTCCAGGACTCCATCACCTACAAAACTGCCTTCGAACATATCCTACTAGTCCAAACTGTCCAAGAGTGAATAATGCAAGATAATGAGGAATAGCAAAGTTATGTTCTACTTCTACTCTAAAAAGGCTCCTCTGTAAAATCCAAGCCCCAGTAGCTCTTAACCTCTCAGAAGTCAGTTCCTTTGTTTCATAAAATAGCAACAGCCACATGTCCCTTACTGTGTTCATGAATGCCACCTTAGAAATTTTGTCCAGCTTACCTGAGAAACCTACAGCACAGTTCCTTCTAAAGTCAGGATCATTCATAAATTCTGCAAGAGCAAATTCCAAGAGCAGGTATACCACCCCCGTGAGTACAGAGAAGGCAGGTATGATGCAGCCGAACCTTCTACTTCCTAGTCTTCTTTCCAGCTTTATGCCTTTCCATAGCATGGACACCATATTGAAATACAAATGCCAGTCGTCCGCATGGTGAAGGGGGGAAAGTAGTAAACGCTGCCAGTCTTTTTGCTGGTAGCACTTCTCCACGCTAAGGCAGGAACTTAACAGGGGCTTCAGAGGATTCAAAAAGAACAAGATGTTGAGAGCCAGAGTTGTCAAGGTGACAGGTGGGATATTGCTGATCCCAACATGGAAGATTTGAGAAAGAAGTAGAATAAGCCCGGTATTGATTCCTCTTGATCTCCGCTGCATGGTTAGAAATCAACCCAGCGATGGGAAGTGTGGTCGGTTCTCAGGAATCTGTTCTGAACCTAAAACACAGAATAAAAGTCCATCAATTAGGGCCTCCCTGGTGGCACAAGGGTTAAGCACCGCACTATGAAGCACTCCGTAGCCTCTACAGCACGAGTTCGATCCCTAGCCAGCCAGGGAGAAACCTACATGGCGAGGCAGGCCTCTCCTGACTCGCCCGCTGCTCCCCTCAGCAGTGTATTTTGGTCAGTCTGCCTGTTCTGTTCCCCGCTCTGTTTCTGATGAATTCTCTCACCCTCCCGCACATCTGGCCTGTACCCCGGTTCTTGCAGGCATGAATAAATCTTAAAAAAAAAAAGTCTAGCCATTAAAAATGAATACACTGATAAGACACTTACTTAACATGAGCTTACACAATAGACAGATATCATTAAAGAGTCATTTTCAGTGTCCTCTAGAGTGACACCCAGGCCAGCAGTTGATGCCCTTCATTTATATTCTAAAATAAAAATTTCCTCTCAAATCCCAATGAACCAGTTAAGAAATCGGGTATGTTTTCTCTGACAAATAAGTCACAGAAATATGACTTCTCTCTCGTATAAACAAATGTGTAGAACAACTAAAAACTGAGACAGGAAGGGTGCAAGAATGTAATAATAATTTCTACTCAGAACATTGTTTTAAAAGGAATATTCAACTTTGATATATTAGAGTTTGCTCCAAAGTTTTTAAATATCAACAAGCAAGTTTTAAAATACAAACATGTTATCTTCTATTCTGCCAGATACCGATAATGGGAACACTTTGTCACAAATAACTTCCAGTTATTTTTTTTTCCACATTATGTTTACTGAGGTAAAGCATGTTGATGTTGCTGTATCCACTTTGAGAGTCATGGTTTAAACCTCTACAAATATCTGTTTTCACACCCTGCCCCCCACCACTGCCCCCAACAATTCACTAAGCCCCTTTCCTCTCTGAACCCCATCCCATCTCAGATTTCCAGTCAGATGTTAAGAATTTATTATTGGGTTGGTTTTGAATGACCCTTTACCATGCTTCTCTATATTCCACAGATAAATGAGACTATTCCAGTATTTTTTTTCCTTTTGACTTATTTCACTTAGCATTATTATCCTCTCTAGTTCCATCCATGTTGCTGCAAATGGCAAGAGTTCTTCCCTTTTTATTGCTGAGTAGTACTCCACTTTTCTGATCCACTCCTCTGTCTTGGGGTACATAGGCCGTTTTCACAACTTAGCTATTGAAAATAGGGGCTGCAAGAGCAAAGTATATAGATCCCTTTGAATGAGAGTTTCTGTGCTCTTCAGGTAGATACCTGGGAGTGGAATTTCTTTATCATATGGTAGATCTACTTTTAATATCAATATTTTGAGAAACCTCCATCTGATTTCCATACCTTCAGTTTTTACAAATACCTACGCTATGCCAAATTCTAGATGGAAATGCAAACCCAGTTTTTATGGAGCTCACTTTCTAGTAAGACGTAAACCAACAACTGCCATGCAAAGTCTGTATGCACTAACAGAGCAGGACCTGACAACCAGGATCCTGCCTCAGGTGGTGACAGAACTATGGTTTCAAAGTATGAGCTGGAGTTGTTAACAAAGAAGAGTCCACTTCTCCAGTGAAGCTGGACTGGCCTTGTGACCTAACGTGTCCCTTCCTCACTCTGTCCGCCACAAGACCTGAACTAAGCCTTCAGAGGATTTGCAGGCATCTGTTCTCTCTTAAAACCCGCCAAGCAGCCATGGGGACAAGTCCAAGCTAGCCTATCAAATGATGGGAGACAAGTGTGCCGGCCCCTAGACAGCTGATACCCCAGAAGCAAAGCTTTCTAGCTGACCAGCAGCTGACCACTGATGCGTAAGTGTGCCCAGCTGAGCTCAGCCTAATTTGCTAGGCTCCACCACAGAACAGTGAGCTAAACTCACTGACTCCAAGTTTGGGAGCAGTATGCTATGCAGCAATGACTAACCAGCACAGAAAGTATGTGTTTTAGTGACAGACTAGGTCACGCATATGGGAAGGAGCTAGTAAAGAAAGGAAGACAGAGACACAGACTAAAGGTGCAAACGATAAATAAAAAAAGTCCACAGAGGGAAAAACATCGTCCAGCATAACAGGAAGGAAGAGGGCAGGTGCAGACATGGGCAAACAGGCAGATCAGGGGCCTGGAGGCTGCACAAGTTTTCAACTAGAGGATGGAAAGCTCTATGGGGCCTGGTGCAGTCAAACAGGTAAATACCCTAAAGAACCGCATCCAGACAACACGTTGGAAAGTGCACAGGCTCTGGGGTAAAAAAGGACCGTGTGATCAAGACCAGATTATGAAACTGTCTGAACTTCAATTTCTTCACTTTCAATTAGGAATGATAGCACCTCCTTTCTAGAATTATTGTCACATGTTTGCAACAAAGTAGATGCTGAAACAATGAAACAGAAGGTAATCACACCTGAAAATTCCTTTGCAAGCGGTATCATCCTAATGAGGCTCAAATCTACTCCCCATGTCTGCACAGGAGTTCTCATCAACATTCTAACCAAAAGAACCCCCCCCCCAAATTATACATATACACACACAAACATGCACCTACACATCTCCGGCACAATCCAGGTTTCCTTATCACCACGGGCTTATTACCAACAATTTCATGAACTACATACAGACTTGAATGAAATTTCAATTGAAAAGCTCCCAAATAATTTTGGAGAAATAGTTGATTTTTTCATCCAGGCATTCAAGTCAATTTTCAATTCTCCAACTACTTCTGTGATTTCTCCCTAAAAAATTACATACAAACACACACACATATGTAATCAAACACCATTACCTGTGATGGGAGCAATGAAGAAACATGGTCTTCATCAGTAAGTAATCACTTAGAAGAAATCACTAAATACACCCTTCAGTATCAGCACAAATTGTGTCCGATGGATGTCAGGCCATGCACAGCAGAAAGTCAAAACTAATTGTATCTTTGCTTAAAAAAAAAAAATTCCCCTTGACTGGAATCATAGCTCTGAAGAGCACAAACAAATGGAGTGGGATTTCCGGTCTTCCTTCGCAAGGTGCAGCCACGCTAGGTTACTGGGGCCGAGTCTGTTTGAGTCCGCCGGTCTTTTCTATTCTCACACCCTTTCCCCTCTCAGCTCTGTGTCCCCACCGGTGGTCGTGAAGACTCCTGCTGCCCTGGGGTGCTCCAGAGGCTCCAAGCCTCTTCCCAGCTCCTGTCTGCGCGTCACCTCCACGTGCGCACACCCGGAACGCCACTCTCACAGTTTCTATATTTTTTCTTATAACATGATTTCCAAATTTACCTTTTTCAACCTTGATTTTTCAGCAGGTTTCAGGGAACCTAGTTGTACAAGAATACTATATGCCTGATCTCTTGGTTTCGTGAAACTGAATTATCTCTACTTCTTACAGAATGACGATTCAGTCATCGTTTCTTTCACACATTGACTTAATAAATATTAAATGGCAAATGCACACCAGTCCTATGCCAGGCACTAGAGTTACAGCAAAGAACAAAACATAATCCCACACCCTAAATGCCCATTTCTACTTGAAGTAAAAACACTGGTTACGGAAAGCCAAGAGATGAAGGAAGAATGTGGGTCCCCCTCAACAAATGTGTACTTACCCTGGAGCAGACACAGCCACGGCCTCCGCGGGGAGTGCCCCACGGGCCCTGGGCTCCTTCCACAGCCCCGCCGGAGCCCCGGCGCAGATAGGAACAGAGGTTTTAAATGTCAAGGAGCAAAGACACACGGACACTACTTCATGCAATGCCGTGGCCCAGTTTCCTTCCTAGTGAGTATCCCTCAGCAGTCCACGGAGAGGGACAGCACCTGTCACAAGGCAACAAGGTCCAACTGGCCCAGGTGAAGATCAAACCTGTTAGCTTGACCTTGTGGACCAAGGAGGTGTGGTTCTAGGAGCACTGCAGAGAACCAACCAGGGCAAGCAAGTGGTGATCGTAAAATGATGTGTTTCGTCCTGCCCATCTAACAGAGCGCCGGGCTGCAAGAAAGCCCAGAGCCTGAAGTCACAGCAACTCATCTACGAGTTGGAAAGCTGTATAACGTGCTTGGTTTGGGAGCGATTTATTTATATTACCTTATACCCAGTTACCACAGCGCAAAGAAGGGCAGCTAGACCCTGCACTCCCTCACCTCAAAACCCCATTCCCTACCTGCCCCTAACTGGACCCCGATCGGGCTCTCCATTCTGCTTCTCCTTTCACATCTCCCAACTCAGGACATGGACTCCCCAGCTAATGCCCAGTTATTCAAGTCAGAGACATGAAAACATTCTTGACATGTTCTTCGCTGTCATGACGCCCTCAAATCCCATCCACCACATTATGTTAATTCTTCTAAGCAGCACCTATCAGTCTACTTTCTCCTTGTTCCAGGACAGAGCCTTAACCTAAGCCACCATAACTTGTGTGGATAACAAACTCCCTATCTGGACTCTCTCCTCTCTTCTTTTGCTCACCAACCATTGTCCACCTCTGCTCAGAGTCATCTTTCATAACATGGAGTTTTGTCCCCTGCAGGAGGCCTTCAATGAGGTTTATCGCCGCACTTAGAACAAAGTCCAAATTCTTCACCTCAGCTCCGCACCTGTGACTACCAGTGCCCGCACCTCCCTCTCTGATCTCATGTCACACTGACCTCTGCCCTGGTACTGTATGCCAGCCACACCAGTACTCGCATAACTTGATTTTAGCACAAAAGACAGAGGACAGAATCTGTTTACCCATTTTGAACATCACAGATTCCAGCACGGTGACCAGCATGTACACAGGGCTTAGTTTTTGCCCAATGCCTCCAGATTAGCAGTTTTTGAATGCAGCTACATTAGACAATATTTAATGTATCCACATCATACAATAAACAAGACACACAGAAGATGTCTGAATACCTGTAAGTTCTCTAAGCGGTTCTCCAGCAGTGTCATGACCTTCCCCACAGCACTATACACACCACCCTAGGTGCCACTTTTAGTTCTGGAACAGTGGTTACAACG